GAAGGACCTCTTCAAGGAGAACTACAAACCACTGCTCAAGGAAATAAAAGAGGACACAAACAAATGGAAGAACATTCCATGCTCATGGATAGGAAGAATCAATATGGTGAAAATGACCATAATGCCCAAGGTAATTTATAGATTCAATGACATCCCCATCAAGCTACCAGTGACTTTCTTCACAGAATTGGAATAAACTACTTTAGAGTTCATATGGAACCAAAAAAGAGCCCGTATTGCCAAGACAATCCTAAGCCAAAAGAACAAAACTGGAGGCATCACGCTACCTGACTTCAAACTATAGCACAAAGCTACAGTAACCAAAACAGCAAGGTACTGGCACCAAAACAGAGAGATAGACCAATGGAACAGAACAGAGCCCTCAGAAATAACACCACACATCTACAGCCATATGATCTTTGACAAACCTGACAAAAACAAGAAATAGGAAAAGGGTTCCCTATTTAATAAATGGTGCTGGGAAAACTGGCTAACCATATGTAGAAAGCTGAAACTGGATCCCTTCCTTACACCTTATACAAAAATTAATTCAAGATGGATTAAAGACTTAAATGTTAGACCTAAAACCATTAAAACCCTAGAAGAAAACCTAGGCAATACCATTCAGGACATAGGCAAGGGCAAGGACTTCACGTTTAAAACACCAAAAGCAATGGCAACAAAAACCAAAGTTGACAAATGGGATCTAATTAAACTAAAGAGCTTCTGCACAGCAAAAGAAACTACCATCAGAGTGAACAGGCAACCTACAGAATGGGAGAAAATTTTTGCAATCTACTCATCTGACAAATGGCTAATATCCAGAATCTACAAAAAAACAAACGATCCCACCAAAAAGTGGGCAAAGGATATGAACAGACACTTCTCAAAAGAAGACATTTATGCAGCTAACAGACACATGAAAAAATGCTCATCATCACTGGCCATCAGAGAAATGCAAATCAAAACCATAATGAGATGCCATCTCACACCAGTTAGAAAGGCAATCATTAAAAAGTCAGGAAACAACAGGTGCTGGAGAGGATGTGGAGAAATAGGAACACTTTTACACTGTTGGTGGGACTGTAAACTAGTTCAACCACTGTGGCACATATACACCATGGAATACTATGCAGCCATAAAAAAGGATGAGTTCATATCCTTTGTAGGGACATGGATGAAGCTAGAAACCATCATTCTCAGCAAACTATCGCAAGGACAAAAAACCAAACACCGCATGTTCTCACTCATAAGTAGGAATTGAACAATGAGAACACTTGGACACAGGAAGGGGAACATCATACACTGGGACCTGTCATGGGGTTGGGGGAGGGGGGAAGGATAGCATTAGGAAATACACCTAATGTAAATGATGAGTTAATGGGTGCAGCACACCAACATGGCACACGTATACATATGTAACAAACCTGCACGTTCTGCACATGTACCCTAGAACTTAAAGTATTAAAAAAAAAAAAAATTTAGCCAGGCACGGTGGCAGGTGCCTGTAATCCCAGCTACTCAGGAGACTGAGGCAGGAGAATTGCTTGAACTTGGGGGGGCGGAAAGAGAAGTGAGCCAAAATTGCGCCACTGTACTCCAGCCTGGGCAACAGAGTGAGACTCTGTCTCAAATGGAAAAAAAAAAAAAATTACTTTCAAATATAAGCAATTATCCTTTATCAAATTCATTCTGATAAGAAAATATTCTGTTACTCCAAAATAAATAACAATGATACTACTTTTCGAGTCATTTTCATTCTCCATTTCTCCGAATGCCAGTGTCAGGTGATACGAAGGCCATAGATGGGATATGAGTATGGGCCCCAAGCAAGCTGGATAGCCCAGAGGTATTGTAATGGCCCTCTTCCCCCAGCAGTAACCATCCAAACCCATTACACAGGCAAGGCCAATTCAGACTACCAATCCCTGGAAGTAACTGAGCCCATGTCATTAGGTGAATACATTTTCAAAATCACTGTTGTGACAGTAATGTGTGGTAGGTGATTTCTACATAAATAACATCATGGCCCTCAGGATACACAAAAGTATTCTTAACCTAGCAGCATGTCACATTCCTGAACCTTAAAAAAAAAATGATGATGTCAAGAATAGACATGAAATGGGAATTTATTTAAAATCAAAGTGCTTAGTTATATTTTCCCACAATTCAGAAACGTTCCATTATTTCTCCAGGACTCAGCCTGGGATGGTTTTCCTGTGATCTTTGCAGTTAATAAATGTGCTGGCCTCAGTGACCACAAATAACCAGCAGAACCAGGAGAAACATACCTAAGTGCTTTCACTATAGCACAGGCACACAGGGAGTTTGTTTCAAGTGAAATAAACTTTGCATGCTGCCTGAGGATGGGACCTGGGGTACCTGGACCAGACTCTCACTGAGAAATGGCCCAGAGCTGAGAGATGGCAGCTTGTGGAACCAGGGCTGCCAGGGTTACCTAGAGCTTAGGCAGGGCTTGGAAGCAGTGAGAGACTTGGGGTCCTGCTCACCTGGGACTCTGGCTGTGGTCTCCCTGCCTGGCTCTGCCCCTTGCCTCTACCCAGGGGAACTGGTGGGGGTGGGCATGAGCAACAGCAGCCCTCTCACTCCCACTCCACAGGATATCTTGCTGGGCTGATGGGAGCCAGAATGCTTGCAAAAGTTGGGGAAAGTTCCCTCCCCGTTTATCATCCAGATCTCTTCCAGGTTTAGAAGGAGGCTGCGAGACAAATACAAAGCTACAGCCATCATCTGGTCTGCTCACACTGACGAGCCTTTGTACTCCAGTGCTTGTCCCGTCCTGCCTTGGAATGGGAATGGGACTAGCACTGCCCATATCCTGACTATATCCTGTCCTGGGCATGGCTGGGCACAGCTTTCATGGGATCATTCCAGCCAATGAATGCACAGTCAGGGAGTACTTGAAAGCTACACCTGTTAACTAATCAATGTTGAAAGGGCGGCAGAGACAGCTCAGTAACCATATATGGGTTTCTGAACATTTAATTACTTCATTTTTAAAGATTAATTTAGAACTTGAAAAACATGTACCATTACACACACAGCACCTCTCAGGAACTTGACGGAATGTAAAACAGATGTCTAAAGAACTGGGGACCAACATTTGAATGGATGTTGACACAAAAACTTGTATTAGTAAAAAGTGACTCTCTTTTGATCTTTTTTTTTTTTTGAAACGGAGTTTCACTGTTGTTGCCCAGGCTGGAGTGCAATGGCGTGATCTTGGCTCACTGCAACCTCCGCCTCCAGGGTTCAAGTGATTCTCTTGCCTCAGCCTCCCGAGTGGCTGGGATTACAGGCGCCTGCCACCACGCCCGGCTAATTTTTGTATTTTTAGTAGAGACAGGGTTTTGCCATGTTGGCCAGGCTGGTCTCGAACTCCTGACCTCAGGTGATCCACCCGCCTTGGCTTCCCAAAGTGCTGGGATTACAGGCGTGAGCCACCGCGCCTGGCCTGATCTTTTAAGAGTTCAGTTCTTGGACTTAATGTTGTGTCTAAAAAGGAGGATAAAATATATGAAGAATACACTGCATGTAACACAATGGAATTATCTTATTTGTCAGTGTAGAAAGCAAATATCTTCACGTTTACCCTTAAGTCGGCGTAGAAAGCAACTATCTTCACGTTTACCCCCCAAAAGTCCTGAAAGACACCTGGAACCTCAGCAGCTGAGAGAGAGGGGCAGATTCCCACCTCCCAGCCTACCCTCGCTCCAGCAATGGATGCTGGGTGGAGTAACAAGGAGAGTTTTCCTTTAGTATGGAAAACACCACTTGTTCTTCTCTCTCAGTCTCTATTGTTTCTGTTTGTTTGGTTTGAGCTCCTATAGTTTAATGTAGTCAAGTTAAATAAGATTTTACTATGAGGAACTATGAAAATCTGTTAGAAGAATATGCATCGGACTTTGTACAGCTAGTTTTTTTTTTTTTCCTCCAAGTGAAACCTATAGCTAGGTCATTTAAAAGAATATTTAACTCCGGTATCTCTATAGATCTTTGTGTGCATATGAAATTAATCCATATCAGAGACCTGTAACTTAGAGATTCAGCTCCTACCATGCAAATGTGTTTGAAGAAAGATATATATTAGATGATGGCAAGGTGTAGAATTGTGTGGATGGTATTCTACCATTTGCCTTACACACACGCATGCATGCCCACATACACACGCTCTCTTACATATGAAGAATCTCTCTGGAAGGATACACAGGTAACTGGTGTAACTGTAACTTGACTCTGAGAGAGGAACTGGGTGTGGAAGAAAGGAGTGAGGCTTCCAGTTTCTGTCCTCTAATAAACTTTTGAATTCTGTACTACATACATATATTAATCAAATTTAAATGCTTATAACTGGGAAGAAAATAATAGAAAATTACTTAATTATTATTATTATTATTTGGAGATGGAGTTTTGCTCTTGTTGCCCAGGCTGGAGTGCAGTGGCATGACCTCAGATTACTGCAATCCCCGCCTCCTGGGTTCAAGCCATTCTCCCGCCTCAGCCTCCCAAGTAGCTGGGATTACAGGCATCCGCCACTACGCCCAGCTAAATTTTTGTATTTTAGTAGAGGGGTTTCATCATGTTGGCCAGGCTGGTCTCCAACTCCTGACCTCAGGTGATCCTCCCGCCTCAGCCTCCCAAAGTGCTGGGACTACAGGCATGAGCCACCGCGTCTGGCCAAGAATTACCCAAATACCTTAATGAGGCCTTTATGATATTTATGATTCAGCCTTGATTGGCCTGATAAAACTGGATGCAAACAATTTTAATAAAAAAGAAAACTATAAGCCCAGGAGCTGCCTGCATACCTCGTTTTGACTCTGTACCCCCAGGCAACTATAAATATGTGATTCCTGTGTCTGGGAAAGGTTTCTGCAGATTGGATGACAAACAATACACATTTCCAAAATCCAAGTTCCTGCCCCTTCAAAATTCTGTTTTGTCTGCGTAGTCTTTCCCAATAAAGCCTAAATATTTACCTGGCTGAGAAAAAAGCAGCTGTGACAGATGCTGTGCAAGCGTCTGAAGGGCTGCGGCTCCTCCCAGGTGCTCCACATCCAGGAGGGACACAAGACTCTGGAGACAGAAGAGGGCTCTGCACTGAATAGTGTTCATTCTGGAAAGGAAGTGAAACAATGCTGTTTCTCCAGAAGTTGCCCATCAGAATTCAGTATTAACTTTTAGTCTAAGCTTCAGGTTCTGACTGGAAATATCTATAAATACAAGGCAATCTATGGCAGTTAGCAAAGAATCACAAGGTGAACTGTTTTTTGTGTTTTCTAAAATGTATTATCATTTTTCAGACGGGGTCTTGCTCTATTGCCCAGGCTGGAGTGCAGTGGTGTGATCACAGCTTGCTGCAGCCTCAATCTCCTGAGCACAAGTGATCCTCCTGCCTCAGCCTCCTAAGGAGCAGGATTACATGTGCACGCAACCACACCTGGCTAAGTTTTTTATTTTTTGTAGATAGGGGTCTTGCTATGTTGCCCAGGCTGGTCTGGAACTCTTGGCCTCAAACAATCCTCCTGCCTGGACAAGTGCTAGAATTGTAAAGTAACTTGTTAATCTGCCAAATCAAACTGCTTGAGTATTCACATCCTCTGATACACAACTCATTAATGAGTCATGAGGAATCTGTTTTAGAAAAATTTCTATGTAGGGTAGCATCCTTAAAATTATAATTTTCTTCAGATAGGAAGAATTCTTATTCTGTTTCCCAGGCTGGAGTACAGTGTCACCATCATAGCTCACGACAGCCTTGGACTGCTGAGTTCAAGCAATCCTCTCACTTCAGCCTCCTGAGTAGCTAGGACTACAGCTGAGTGCCACTATGCCAGGCTAGTTTTTGTAATGTTTTTTTTTCTTTGTAGAGATGGGGTCTTGCTATGCTGCGCAGGCTGGTTTCAAACTCCTGGCCTCAAGTGATCCTCCCACCTCGGCCTCCCAGAATCCTGGGATTATAGGTGTGAGCCACCACGCCAGCCTAAAATTATTTTTAATTGTGAAATGTGACATATATATGGTTAAGTACACAACATATATAGAGAGTTTAACAAATAGTCTATGAAGCCAACACCCATGCACCTGGGAAAGAAAGAAACACTGCTGGACCCTGAAAGCCCCTGTATCTCTTCCTTATAACACCCCACCTCCCTGACACCTACAGGTAACCACCACACAGACTTTTACGGTAAACATTTCCTTGCCCCCTTTTTTTTTTTTTTTAATAGGCTTATCACCAAGGTATGCATCCCTGAACAAAATAGTTCAATGTTGCCTGTTTCTCAACTTTGTAAAAACTGAATCAGTGTGCGTATTCTTTTATGTCTTGCTTTTTTGGTTCAACAATGTAAGCTCCATCCAAGTTGTGAGTAGTTCTAATTCAGATCCCTTTTACTGCTGCATGTATTGTACTGAGTGATTTTGTCAAAATATATTTACCGGCCGGGCGCGGTGGCTCAAGCCTGTAATCCCAGCACTTTGGGAGGCCGAGATGGGCGGATCATGAGGTCAGGAGATCGAGACCATCCTGGCTAACACAGTGAAACCCCGTCTCTACTAAAAAATACAAAAAACTAGCCGGGTGAGGTGGCGGGCGCCTGTAGTCCCAGCTACTCGGGAGGCTGAGGCAGGAGAATGGCGCAAACCCGGGAGGCGGAGCTTGCAGTGAGCCGAGATCCGGCCACTGCACTCCAGCCTGGGCGACAGCGAGAGACTCCGTCTCAAGAAAAAAAAAAAAATATATATATATATATTTACCATTCTAACTCTGATGGACAACAAATTTGTTTACGGGTTGGGGCAACTGTGACATACACTGCTATGAACATGTATTCTAGGTCACATGGGCAGTATTTTTCTGGTATATATACCCAGGAACAAAACTTCTGGGTCTGAGGGGGAGTCAGCACCTTCTATTTAATGGCCCATCATTTCATAAAATAAAATAATGACAAATGTTTTTGAAAGTAGAAAAGTTCTTACTTTCTAATCAAAGGTTTCCAAGTAGGGTTCCTAGAACATAGGTCAACTGCAATGCTGTTTGGAAAGGCAGTTTTCTCAAAAATCTAGATTTAAAAGAGGCAGTAAAGCAAAAGTTAAAGAGTAGTCATTTAACACATGATTCCCTTATATAATTCCAAAATATTACTCCTAAGTGAAATGGTTAGGCTTCATATAGAATGACCTTTTCACCTATTGCCAGTACTGTTAGCTCAGCTTTGTCTCAGATCTTACCACCATCTACAACCTGAAAGTGTGAGCTTGCTTCTTTTGTACACAGAATGAATACCTTGCTTAAGCCTTTCCCACGCTCCACGGTAAGCCTAGAATGAAAACGGATTACCTTCTTTGGGATGAGGTAGTTGGTGAGAGCAGTGTGAACCTCATGGGAGAGGCAGAGGGGAGTGAACAGCTGTCCCCCGCACTCACTGAAGGAATTCTCCATAAATGTATCACTTTCATCACTGCTAGAAAGTTCTTCCCATTCGTCATCAGAGGGATCTGGGAAGCGGGCAAACCACGCAGAACTGGAATAGTTAAGAAAATCTCCACGGGAGTTTCCCTCTTGGCCCAGGGGGAAAATGTCTAAATGTAAACTGTTAACAAACCTTCATTGCAGCACATGTTGACGATAATTTCCAGAGCAGTCTGTTGAGCTGTCAGCAATGCTATAGTCTCTCTCAGCTCCTTGTCAGTGGGCTTTTAAAAAAAAAAAAAAGTAAATGACCAACTCTCAATGGTTGGGAAAATGTTTTCGGGGAATTTCCTTAGTGAAAGCCTACTAGATTTTTGTACTTGGAATAGAGCACATGGAGAATGGGGTAGGTAAAAGATAAGTCATGAAGTGCCAGAAGTACAAACGAGCATTATAATTCCTCTTGGTACAGTGGAGCATGCCCCCATTAACTGGGTTCCCATCCATCTGCATGGCTATTCCCCAAGCGTCGCTTAGTTAGCTGGAGAGAACAGACAAATATCCAGGAATTCTGAATGGAATTCACCCTGAAACTTAATCTACTATGTCAAGAAGTAGCTGGGCATACTAAGATTTAAACAAGAGTTCATTTCAGACACCAGGCACTTACAAACAAATCTGCTTTTAGATGCTCAGCTTAGATGTCTTTCTTGGAATGGCTGCGTTAACAAACACTACTAAGGAGCCCTTATATGACCTGTAGAACTTGCTATGGAGCAGACGGACTTGCTTCCTGCCTTTCTTTAAAGACTATAATAAAGCATTTCTCTAAGACTAAAGAAAGCAGGAAGCTTTTTTTTTTTTCTCTGTAAATATATAACGCCAACTTAAACTTAACATTATCAACTAATATTTCTTAAAATGGGTAATATAAATTTATATAACCTTTATTCTCAAATTGTCTATGAAAAGTGAAATAACCACAATGATATTCCAAAACAGTACATGGGCTAAAAATAATGTATATTTTACTATTCGAATATTTCCCAACTTTAGTTTTCAACTGTTTTTTTCCCCCTGCTTAGAGACAGAGTCTCACTCTTTGCCTAGGCTGGAGTGCAGTGGCACGTTCATAGCTCACTGCAACCTCAAATTCCTGCGCTCAAGCAATCCTCTTGCTGCAGCCTCTGAGTAGCTGGGACTACAGGTGCACGCCACCATGGATGGCTAATTTTTTTACTTTTTTGTAGAGACAAGGTCTTAGCCAGGCATGGTGGCACATGCCTGTAATCCCACCTACTTGGGAGGCTAAGGCAGGATAATCCCTTGAACCTAGGAGGCAGAGGTTGCAGTGAGCCGAGATTGCACCACTGCACTCCAGCCTGGGCGACAGTGACACTCCGTCTCAAAAAAAAAAAAAAAAAGGCCGGGCGCGGTGGCTCAAGCCTGTAATCCCAGCACTTTGGGAGGCCGAGGCGGGTGGATCACGAGGTCAGGAGATCGAGACCATCCTGGCTAACACCGTGAAACCCCGTCTCTACTAAAAATACAAAAAACTAGCCGGGCGTGGTGGCGGGCGCCTGTAGTCCCAGCTACTCGGAGGCTGAGGCAGGAGAATGGCATAAAACCCGGGAGGCGGAGCTTGCAGTGAGCCGAGATCGCGCCACTGCACTCCAGCCTGGGTGACACAGCGAGACTCTGTCTCAAAAAAAAAAAAAAAAAAAAAAGAAAAAAAAGAAAATAAATAAATTTACCTGCTTTTTTTTGAGAGATGGGGTCTCAGTATATTGCCCAGGCTGATCTTGAAATCCTGACCTCAAGTAATCCTCCCACCTCAGCCTCCCAAAGTGTTGAGATTATAGGCGTGACCACCATGTCCAGCCCCAGTGACTTCTTTGTGCAACAATTTAACTGTAACTTTTAATCATATTATTTTAAAAAAAAAAAAAAAGCAAAGCAAATTGCTAATTTAATAGATGTAGCTCAGGGATCCCTAAATTTGAATTCTACTTATCGGTAGCAAGAATGTATATAAAAATAATTTCTATTTGCTTTGTGTGTGTGCTAATTCAACTAAATATACATTTATTAGAGGAGATTCAAAGCTAAAGAAGACATGTTGCTGCTGGGCTGTCATCCACTTAAAATATATGAAGATCTGGCTTATTATTTTTTATTCTTTTTGTTTTTTTTTTGGAGACAGAGTCTTGCTCTGTCACCCAGGCTGGAGTGCAGTGGCATGATCTTGGCTCACTGCAATCTCCGCCTCCTGGGTTCAAGCCATTCTCATGCCCCAACCTCCCGAGTCGCTGGGACTACAGTATGCACCATCATGCTCGGCTAATTTTTTGCATTTTTAGTAGAGACAGGGTTTCACCATATTGGCCAGGCAGGTCTTGAACTCCTGGCCTCAAGTGATCCACCCACCCTGGCCTCCCCAAGTGCTGGGATTACAGGCGTGAGCCACCATGCCCAGCCAAAGATGTGGCTTAAAAGGAAATCTGAAATTAAACTCCACCTCTTTATGTAACTCTCTTGCTCAGAACTTTTCTCTGCTTCTCACTGCTATCGAGCTGACATAAAGAACCAATTTAGATGAAATGTTATGACATCTGAGATTTGCTTCAAAATAATCAGTAGAGAAAAGACAGTGTGAGGGGAACTAGATGAAATCAAATAGAAGAGAATTTGAAAATTGGTAACTGTGGAAGCTAAGCAGAGAGTACTTTACTTTTGCATGTGCCCCCACAAAAAAACGGGTTGAACTGCTCTTCCTTTGTATCTCTGTGGTTATACCTTCTTAAGTTAAATGATGCAGTTTTGATTCTGAAGGAGTGCTGCAGAAGACACTGGATAGTGTGGAAGACCACAGCTGAATATAACTTGTGTTCCTGGCACCCTAGTGGCACTTAAACACCGGCTGGCTGACCAACTAGCATGTTAATCATCCAGTCGAGTCAGTTAAGAACACTTTATTTTCCTTTTCTTTTTTTTTTTTCTCCTCTATCCCGCCACCCCACCACCGCCCATCACTATAATCTTAAGGAAGACTTTATTTCTATTTTCATTTAGTTTTGTTTTTCTGAAACAGAGTCTTGCTCAGTTGCCAGGCTGGAGTGCAGTGGCGTGATCTTGACTCACTGCAACCTCCACCTCCCAGGTTCGAGTGATTGTTGTGCCTCAGCCTTCCAAGTTGAGTGCCTGGGATTACAGACACACGCCACCACACCTAATTTCTGTATTTTTAGTAGAGATGGGGTTTTACCATGTTGGTCAGGCTGGTCTTGAACTCCTGGACTCAGGAAATTTGCCCACCTCAGCCTCCCAAAGTGCTAGGATTACAGGCGTCAGCCACCACACCTGGCCAGAAGACTTTAAAAAGCCAGTTTTTACTGTAAGAAAACACTGCATTTTTATAAGCACCAAAATAAAAGTAATAAGAAAATAAATCTCTACATAACAGTTAAGTATCAATAATTTTTCAACAGTGGCACTTCTATCTAAACCTTGTTAGACTTGGGTCTCACCCCCAACCTTACTCCCTGGAGAAGGTCCTTGGAAGCAAGGCTGGAGGTGGGGACAATCACACAAGAATGCCATTCTCTCATTCCCAGCAAGGGATTTCAGATCCTTCAAACACAGTATACCTGCATCAGATAGGATCAACAGAAACCTGAGTACCATGGTGCCCACAGCTGAAAATGACCCCATAAGCCCTGATTTATCACATCCCCTCTTTCCACAAACAGGTATGAAACAGGTTGGGTACCACGGTGCACGCCTACGATCCTAGCACTTTGGGAGGCCGAGGTGGGAGGATCGCTTGAGACCAGGCAGCATAGTAAGATCTCGTCTCAAAATAAACCAATAATGATAAAATAAAAAGATCTAGGCTGGGCACGTGGCTTACACCTGTAATCCTAGCACTTTGGGAGGCTGAGGCGGGCAGATCACCTGAGGTTGGGAGTTTGAGACCAGCCTGACCAACATGCAGAAACCCCATCTCTACTAAAAACGCCAAGTTAGCCAGGTGTGGTGGCACATGCCTGTAGAGGCCGAGGCAGGAGAATTGCTCGAACCTGGGAGGCGGAGGTTGCAGTGAGCCGAGATCACACCACTGTACTGCAGTTTGGGCAACAAAATCAAAACTCTGTCTCCAAAAAAAAAAAAAAAAATCTGTGAGCAACTCAAGGACAGCGTGGCCTTCTCATTTTTGTTATTTGTGCCAGCACTTAACACAGTGCTTTGCACCCACAGGTTGCTCATATGAGGGGAAAAGTGGTTCTATCTACATTTTGATTTCTTTGAAACACCATCAATTTATGCTTCCTGAGACATCATGAACACAGGTAAGCATGAGAGGACATGATTGCCTCCTCCCAACTCAGCCTTCGTTGTCCTTCGGCAGCCTCCTGACTGGTCCTCCTGCTGCCAGGCCCCTTGTGCTCTTCCTTCCTCCAGCTGCCTGAGTGCGCTCTCCAAACACTAACCTGCTTTTTCTTACCCCCTCCTTTATGACGCCCCAGATATTGTGTCCAAAAGGCTCTCTCTGGCAGCCTCTTCCTTAGCTCTCCCATAAAGGCTGAGTCACAAGGGCCTACTCTACAGATACCATTCCCTTAGAAATCTGTGCAGGGCCACAGCACTGTTCTCGGCACAAGGCCTTAGAGCCATGGTTTTATGTGTCTGTCTTCCCAACACGGAGGAAGTTCCTGAAGGCTGAAAATTACATCTTAATCATCTTTTTATGACCAGTGTCTAGCACAGCGCCTGGCATACATTAGGAGCACAGTAAATGTGAACCTGAATGAATAAAGCCTCAGTCACTGTGTTCCCTGTTTTCCTATTTGCTCTCCTAACAAAGTGTTCTCCCCAAATACAGCTCTCTCTCTGCAGACTGTCAGCTGAAATGCTTCCTGCACCCCAGATTGCTCCCCTTTACTGCAGTATCACACCACCAGCACAACTATGCCACCATCACCCACTCCAAGAAAACTACAAACCATCATTCATCTCACAGTCACCCAACCTCTGCGGATCAGTAGTGGATAAATGAAGATTTGGTTTGCCACCTTGATAAGGCTAGATACAAAAATAAGAGGCAAGAATGCAAGGGACAATTCAGGCACAGTACAAATTCCTTTAGTCTGAAGACAGTATGGCAGACAGTATGTAACACAAGTGTGGAGATGCAAGAGTTACAAAGATGATCATCTATTTCTAAAGTGTTCCAAAAGGATAGGTTTATACCATCTCTGAAATCTTCTCCTGTGTATAAAACTATCACGTTAGATAAAAGACTTTTCCCCCTTTAGGAGATTTTTAATGACATAAAGAGAATCAACCGGAAAATACGACTCATTTTTACCAAAACGCCCTTTATAGCTAACTTTGCTATAATATTTTTCTGCAAAGCCAAGGATAACTGCTGGAAAAAAAAAAACAGCTGTATTAATCCATATTTGAGAACATCAACCTGACTTACCGGAAGTAAATCTGAAACGAAAGTTTTCCTTCTGACTTTTCTCTTATGAGAAATTCCTTCCATTTCATCATCTTCAATCAAATCATCCCCATTAGTGTTCTCTAATATTTCCTCAGCCTCTGCAGCAGTTTTTAACCTTTGCGTTTCAGTCTCTTTCATTTGAATAACTGTTTCACCAGCATCCATTCCCAAAACTTCAGATAAGATCTTTAGTAAGGCATTTATGATTTCTGCTTGACTCTTGCATGGAATAATGTCCTTTAGATTCCAAATTGTGCCTGGGAAAAAATAAGCATAAGGAGAAGAAATGCCTGTGAAATATTTTATTAAGTTTAAATTTTCGCAAGACTTTTAAGGCCAGTGTAATTTCAAAAAATCTCAGCCCCACTGCCTTTGTTCATTATTTATTAAATGTCAATGAGTTCTGCACTGAGGCAGTGCCCTTAGTTATAACCCTGCACAATCATCTTCCTTTCTTGGCACACAATGCCTTTCTCTGATACACTGCGTTATCAGCAGACCCAGAGAACACTTATCAAGTTTCTTTTAAAATGACAAAGTGAGTGGCTTCACTTTCTCTCACTGTAACCTAAGCTGCTCTCCTCAGCAGCTTCTCATATTCCATGAATGGAATGGAATGTACTAAAATTCCAACATCGGTCTCACATACAAACATGAGAGCAGGTTCTTAGTTTTTTGGTTATCAAAAAAGAACAGGAGCTATCATTAAGTAGTCAGAGTAATTTTTTTTTAAGTTACTACAAAAATAAAAACACCTCCTGGCTATACACCCAAAAGAACTGAAAGCAGGGACTTGAACAGATTACATCCATTTTTGTGAGGTGCGGTGGCTCACCCTGTAATCCCAATACTTTGGGAGGCCAAGGTGGGAGGATCACTTGAGGTCAGGAGTTTGAGACAAGTCTAGCCAACATGGTGAGACTCCATCTCTACTAAAAATACAAAAATCAGCCAGGCATGGTGGTGGGCGCTTGTAATCCCAGCTACTTGGGTGGCTGAGGCACGAGAATCACTTGAACCCAGGAGGCAGAGGTTGCAGTGAGCCGAGATCTTGCCACTGCACTCCAGCCTGGTTAACACAGCGAGACTCTGTCTCAAAAAAAAAAAAAAATTACATCCACTTTCACAATAGCTGTATTCACAATAGCCAAGTTGTAGAAGTAACCCAAGTGTCTATCAACAGATGAACAGATCAACAAAATGTGGTATTATACCTATAAGGCAATATTATTCGGCATTAAAAAGGAAGGAATTTCTGACACATGCTACAACATGGATGAACCTTGAGGCCACTATGCAAAAAGAAATAAGCCAATCACAGAAAGACAAATTCTGTATCATTCCACTTCTATGAGGTATTTAGAGTAGTCAAGGAATGGTGGCTGACAGCAGCTGGGGGAAGGGGAAATGGGAAAAATTGTGTCTAAAGTTTTGCAAGATGAAAACAAGTTCCGGATTTTTATTGCACAACAATATGAATGAACTTTACACCACTAAATTATACATTTAAAAACAATTAAAGGCTGGGTGCAGTGGCTCACGCCTGTAATTCCAGCGGTTTGGGAGGTCAAGGTGGGCATATTATAAGAGCTCAGGAGTTTGACACCAGCGTAGGCAACGTGGTGAGATGCCATCTCTAAAAAAAAATACAAAGAATTAACTGTGGCTGGGCACTGTGGTTCATGCCTGTAATCCCAGCACAGGGAGGTCGAGACGGGCCAATCACTTTAGGTCAGGAGTTTGAGACCAGCCTGGTCAACATGGTGAAACCCCATCTCTATTAAAAAATAAAAAAATTAGCCCGGGCGTGGTGGCTCACGTCTGTGATCCCAGCACTTTGGGAGGCCGAGGCGGGCGGATCACGAGGTCAGGAGATCGAGACCATCCTGGCTAACAAGGTGAAACCCCGTCTCTACTAAAAAAATACAAAAAATTAGCCGGGCGTGGTGGCGGGCGCCTGTAGTCCCAGCTACTCAGGAGGCTGAGGCAGGAGAATCACTTGAACTCAGGAGGCAGAGACTGCAGTAAGCTAAGCTTGCACCAATGCGTTCCAGCCTGGGTGAGAGAGGGAGATCACCTCTCTGAAAAAAAAAAAAAAATTAAATGGGCCTGGTGGCATGCACCTGTAGTCCCAGCTGCTTGGGAGGCTGAGATGGGAAGATCACTTGAGCCTAGGAGGTGGAGGCTGCAGTGAGCCAAGATCGCACCACAGCACTCCTGCCTGGGCAACAGAGGAGGACTCTATCTCAAGAAAACCCAAAATGATTAAGACGGTAAATTTAATGTGCATTTACCACTATTAAAATAAAAAGAACAGGCCAGGCACAGTGGCTCATACCTGTAATCCCAGCACTTTAAGAGGTCAAGGTGGGCAAATCACCTGAGGTTCTGATCTCAAGACCAGCCTGGCCAACATGATAAAACCCTGTCTCTACCAAAAATACAGAAATAAGCTGGGCATGGTGGCGCATGCTTGTAATCCCAGCTACTTGGGAGGCTGAGGCATGAGAATCACTTGAACCTCGGAGGTGAGGTTGCAGAGCCAGCCACTGCACTCCAGCCTGGGTGAGAGAGCCAGACTCCATTTCAAAACATTAAAAAATTAAAAAAATAAAACAAAAACAAAAAACTCTCAATATAAATTATCTCTGTAAGGCCAAAGGGCAAGAAGAAAATAGATACAGAAACTAAAAGCACATACTAAACAGACCTTCAGATAATTTCTTACTTCTGTATTCAGAGATTCTGGAGAGAAAAGAGTTGGTGAAAAAAAAAAAAAAAAACCTACGGAAAACTAAGTGGTCAATTTCTGAAATCACTGGTTCATAAGTAAGTGGGGATCCTGACAACAGTGTCTCTTTATCAGGTTAACAGTAGTTTGTTAAATTCAAAACAAATCTATTCCACAAGGCTTTACAACTATAGACAACTGCTTGAAGTAAGGGTCTCTTCTCAAATATTAAAATTTTCAGAACAGATAAAAGCACAGAAGGCCCGATGTGTTGAAATGAATGACTAAATTTTGCCGCCACACATCCATATCAAAAGCTACTAAAACAATATACTCTGCCATAAGGCTAAATTTTACCTGCTACCAATGTCTTCAATAGAAGGGATTCCATGGAACTAACAGGAGAAAGCAGTGCTGATTCCAGCACGTTCAGTGCTGTAGCACTGAAAGACTTCAGCAGCTCTGGGTTATCCTCGGTCACTGTCTGCAAACAATATGCTATAAGGCAAAACATAAATATTTAGAAACAAATGAATTCTGCTTTGGATAATTTATACCAGTATAATTCATCAGTAAAACGTTGTATCGTTACCACTTCATTAGATACATGTAGCTTTTGTAGACTATATATGCTTTATCTCAGGGTGATATGCACAAATGAGGCTTCCCAAACTATTAGCGCTGGAAAAGACGTTTCTTTTCTTTTTACATTTCTAATGCTGAACAGATGTATCCTTTTTTTTTTTTTTTTTTGAGACAGTCTTGCTCTGTCACTCAGGCTGGAGTGTAGTGGCGCATCTCAGCTCACTGCAACTTCCGCCTCCCAGGTTCAAACAATTCCTGTGTCTCAGCTTCTCAGGTAACTGGGATTAAAGGCGTGCGCCACAATGCCTGGCTAATTTCTATATTTTTAGTAGAGACGATTTCACCATGAAGGCCAGGCTGGTCTGGAACTCCTGGTCTCAAGTGATCTGTCCATTTCGGCCCCTCAAAATGCTGAGATTACAGGCATGAGCCACCACGTTCAGCCAGATCTACACTTTTTTTTACAAAATACAATTACAAAGACTCTTTTTTTTTTTTTTTGAGACGGAGTCTCGCTCTGTCGCCTAGGCTGGAATGCAGTGGCACAACCTCGGCTCGCTGAAAGCTCTGCCTCCTGGGTTCACACCATTCTTCTGCCTCAGCCTCCTGAGTAGCTGGGACTACAGATGCCTGCCACCATGCCCAGCTAATTTTTTGTATTTTTACTAGAGACATGGTTTCATCTTGTTAGCCAGGATGGTCTCAATCTCCTGACCTCGTGATCCGCCCACCTTGGCCTCCCAAAGCGTTGGGATTACAGGTGGGAGCCACCATGCCCGGCCTAAATAGACTCTTAAATGTGGCAATGTCGTTACTATAAATGTTTATAAAAGCTTATCCTCAGGCCAGGCGTGGTAGCTCATGCCCGTAATCCTAGCACTTTGGGAGGCCGAGGCAGGAGGATCACCTGAGGTCAGGAGTTGCAGACCAGCTTGGCTAACATGGCAAAATCCCATCTCTACTAAAAACACAAAAATTAGCTAGGCATGGTGATGCACGCCTGAAATCCCAGCTACTTGGGAGGCTGAGGCAAGAGGATAGCTTGAACCCTGGAGGCGGAGGTTGCAGTAAGTCGAGATTGTACCACTGCACTCCAGCCTGGGTGATAGATCTGAGACTCCATCTCAAAAAAAAGGCCAGGCGTGGTGGCTCACGCCTGTAATCCCAGCACTTTGGGAGGCCGAGGCAGGCGGATCACAAAGTCAGGAGATCGAGACTATCCTGGCTAATGCAGTGAAACCCCGTCTCTACAGAAAATACAAAAAATTAGCCAGGCGTGGTGGCGGGCGCCTGTAGTCCCAGCTACTTGGGAGGCTGAGGCAGGAGAATGGCGTGAACGCGGGAGGCAGAGCTTGCAGTGAGCCGAGATCGCACCGCTGCGCTCCAGCCTGGGCGACAGAGCGAGACTCCATCACACACAAAAAAAAAAAATTTACCCTCAATTTATGTACTTATCAAGGACCAGTAGCAAACAGTCCTAGGTTTTGGGATGTCTGGCTTCCTTTAAATTTATCATGACCTTCAAAGTTACGGTTATTTCTGGTGGAGCAATAATTCTTTAAGAAAAAAAGTAGTTTATATAAAAGTATGAGCAAATTAAGACATGTAAAATATTAAATCACGCCCATCAAAATTACTTTAAATGCATGTTACTGCTGTGATTGACAATATATTTACATAGAAATCCATATATACGCATTTCTGTACATATATTCAAACGTAGTATCTTTGTCATTAAGAAACTAATTTACTTTAGCTAACAGCCATGATTGCTACCATACAAGTTCAAAAAAAGTTGTATGAATACATGGGACGGAATCTTGTAGTTCATTTTACTATATGTAAGCATTGCTTGACTTTAGAAGTAAAAGTAATAATGTATTTTAAAAATCATTAATCTAGCTACATGCAGAAGGAAAACACTATTAAGCAATGCAAAATGACTTCATTCTAATCCATTTCAAAAATGCTCATTAAGGGGAAGAAAAGCTAAAAACAGAAATAAATCTGTAAGATTAAAGGCAGAAAAATAGAAGTGGTTTTTCTTTTAAAACGTATGAACTAACTTTCCTGAAATTCTCTTATTGTAACAAAAACTGTCCTCTGAGATTAGGTAACCTATCAAATTCCTAAAAATGGCTGAATTGTTTTTAAAATCCCCATTTACTCACAACTCCCCAAACCCAGCAAGATTCCATTTGGAGAAATGATTTTTAAAATTTTCTCAGTAGTATTTATTCTACTATTTTCCCTCAATTCTGTTCTCTTAAAAATATCCATTAGAGTCAAGAGAAACAGCAGTCAGGGGAATACACTTCTTCCTCCCCAGAAGAAACGCAGTTCCACAAAGGGACAGCTGGACACCTGCCGTAATGATGGGGAGAAAAGAAATGCTCTCCCTCAATTGTTTCTCCACTCCCACCCAGCATTCTGTTGAGCTGCCCATGCTCTGGTTTCTGCCTGCTGCCATTGAGCTGAGGGTCCCCAGTGGCTCCTCAGTCCAATAAAGAGAAGGCAAGGCAGCCAAGGCCACTGAAGTTGCTGGACTTTGCCTTCCCTGTCTCATGGAAGGCACGCAGGCCTAAGTGGAATTTCAATCACTTCTTTTTCTCTTTCTCTCTCAACAAAACTCAGGCCGTCAGTTTTCTGCCAGAAGTATGAGATAGTAGCATAATACATTTAAGTAAGTTTAGATTCCAATTAACTGGCTTAAAGACCTGGTAGTTGTGGGTTACTGTTTCTTAGTAAATGGAGATGAAAACTTTAAGAATTAATAAAGGCTGCTAAGAATGAAAACAGGCCAGAAACCACATATCTTCACATAATTACCTTTCTCCCTTTCAGAGCCAAAAGCAGAAAAATTGAATGAGCAGGTAAAGAATTAATATTAATCACAGATTTAAGAAGACCCAGAAAACACAGGTGCTGAGCTACACATTCACATACAATGAGAAAAAAAATCACTCCAGTGGAATAAACACACTAAAGCTGCATGAAAATTTTTGAACAAGGCTACACATTCTTAATAAGTCATCACCTTTTCTTCACTTACCTACTGAAATAGCCAGGTCAACATTGGTAGGAAACCTACTTAAATACTTTAACACAATCTCCAAACACCCTTCTTTGTTGAATATAGACACTGCTCTACTACTGCATTCACTAAATTGAAGGGGGAAAAAAAAGTTTTACTATTCACATTTTAACAGTAGGAAATCAACCATAGCAATCCATAAAAAAACAAATCAGGCTTTATAAACCAAGGAGTTGGAATCAAACACCCACCATTTTTATCGATGAAGGAACTAACACCCATTCATATTCACTATACATGAGAACTGGCTATCTATATTTTATCTCTATCACAGTGGGACCTTTTCATCAATCTCTTTGCCATGATGCCAGTTTCCTTATAGAAGGTTAAAGCTGGAAGAGATCTTGTAAATCGTTTAATTCAACTCCCCGTTTTATAAATGCGAAGACCCAGGACCCAAGCGGTAATGTGGCCCATCAGAGAGCAAATATTTTGTCAGCGGTAGAGCCAGGCCCAGTACCTAGGTTCCCTGGGTCCAGCCTACTGTTTTTTCTTCACTCTATACCACAACGATAACAAGTTAAAGGAGGATAAAAGGCCTCTATATTTATCACACAAAAACACAAATTTATATTTTTTTAACCTACATTTTAGAACATTAACAAAAACACAAATTTAAAGGAAAATAAAATTATATTTTATTCAAGCCTTTTAAAGTGCAATCATAATTTCATCAAGCAGAATTTGCAGTCTACAATAGAGAAATTACAGTAAGTATTTTTTAAATTATACTACCTTTTAATAAAAGACTCAGACAGCTATCAGTGTTATGAATAAGCAAACACATTAAATACGAGTACACAAGGCTAATTATAATAATTGTATCCATGTTTCCAGAGGAAATATCCATGTTGTATGTTTCCTCCATACATACAACATACACACGTGACATGCTAACAGCTAACAGAGCTGACTAAATTATTAAACTTAATCTGTTATGTGATGAAAAATATTTCATATCTTCTATCTACCTACCTACCTACCTACCTACCTATCTAGTTATGGTAGCATGAAGGAGACCACTGTCTAGTCAGGAAGATAAGCCATACGTGTGTAAAGATAATTTGAAATATAAATATGAAACAAGAATGTTAAAAGTAACTCAGTGATACCTACAGGGCTCACAGGTATTCAGAAAAGAGAAATCACCTTGGAGATATATTCAGACTCTTTTCAAGGAAATTTTTTTAAAATTTCCAAATGCAACGATTTCTGACTCAAAGTTATCTGGTGCACAGAAAAACAGCACCCATCAGTTTTTGCTCAAATGCCATTTCCTCAGATCTGATCTCTCTAATATTTCTGGTGGAATGCATTCAGTAAAATGAAATCACAGGCAAGGTCAGATTGCTACATAGGCATTTCAGGATCCAACTTAATCTTGTATTCTAAGAAACATCTGTGCTTTTAGGTCAGCCACTGTAATTGCTGCTGACTGAAGATAAGAAACTGTGACAGAGTCTTGCTAGAAATGTGGGACATAAAATGGGGCAGAAAAAAGCAAATCCAGGTTGGGTTTCTAGCCATTTCCATTCCTAGTAGCAAGTCCACTCCACCCTTACCACTGCTACAATCACAGAATGGAGAGTGGCCTTCTTCCTCCAGGGGCCAAGGGAGCTCTTCTTAGGCATCCACTTCCCACTCAGATGGTAACCGCCAGGGGAGAGGAAGAAAAGCACCAGCCAAGGTCTGTGGTCCCCATCTTAGTCTAGAGGCCAAACCAAAGCTGCACCTGCATCTGGGCTTGACCAGCTTAAAGACAAATTTTTCTCAGGGTGCGCAGGAAGTCATGGGAACGGAGGAGCCACAGGTGCTAGTGGTCATGAGTCCTCCTATTTTTTGTCAGGTGCAATGACTGGAGAGGAAAGCCGTAAAACAAAAGATGCAGTGATGCAATGAGGAAAGGGATTGGGGAGGAGGGTCGACCTTAGGTCACCTGATCCTACCTCCTACCAAGTCTTTTTTTTTTTTTTTTTGAGATGGAGTTTCGCTCTGTCACCTAGGCTGGAGTGCAGTGGCATGATCTTGGCTCACTGCAAGCTCTGCCTCCAGGGTTCAAGCGATTCTCCTGCCTCAGCCTTCCGAGTAGCTGGGATTACGGGCATGTGCCACCACACTCGGCTAATTTTTTTATAGTTTTGGTAGAGACGGGGTTTCACAGTGTTGGCCAGACTGGCCTCAAACTCCTGACCTCAAGTGATCCACCCACCTTGGCCTCCCAAAGTGCTGGGATTACAGGCATGAGCCACCATGTCCGGCTCCTACCAAGTCTTAACATCCCAGGTTAACAGGCCTACTAAGGGGAACAGAGATTCCCACACAGTATAACAGAGAATAGCAGCCTGGGTACTGCTATAGCAGGAGGCTGTGTTTGGAAGGCATCTTACCATATATTCCACAGCACGTTCACAGCCTCATTGGCTATGTTCTCAACAGAATTTCTGTTCTGATCTTTTTTCTCCTGCAGGGACATCTCATTTGAATCCAGTCCAGCACTACACTGTAAACAAATATCATGATTAGCACCCTGGTTCCAAAGAAGAATTAAACAAATAGGGTAAAGATGGTGATGAAACACAAAGGCTAGACATCAGAAATTACCGTGGTTAACAAGTCAATCGAATCCTTACAAGCAGTAGTACAAAATCAATACAAAGTATTTTACCTAATAAATGTAATAAAGTACAGTAAGAAGGCAACGAAAGATGAAATAAGAGCTTCTACCTAGCGCCTTCCATTTTTTTATTACATAGCACCTTCTAAGCTACTATTCTAAGCTTCTTACATGTATCAAATCATTTAATCCAAACAATAAACCTATGAGGTAGGATGACTATTATTATCGCCAATCTCCAGCTGCAAATGGGAAAGTGAGGTACAGGGAGGCTGCTGAAGGTGTTAGATTAGCATGTGGTGAAGCTGGGATTCAGGCCCCAGCATTTGGCTCCAAAGCTGGTGCTCTTAAGCCCCTCTAGTACAGACCAGGAGACACTCTAAAGCAAGGTTTCTCAATCCAGGTACTACTGAAATTCTCCACCAGAAAATTCTTTGTTGGGGAAAGAAGGGCTATCATGTTCATTTGGGGATGTTTAGCAGCATCCCTGGCCTCTACCCACTGGATGCCAGTAGCAACTTTTACCCCACAAGCTCTGTAACAACCAATGTCTCCAGACATTGCCAGTTGTGCCCTGTGAAGCAAGATCATACCCAGTTGAGAATCACTGCTCTAAAACGACTGATGCCTCTCATCAAAACTGGATATGCTTTATGTACCCTTAACTGAAAATTACCCATCAATACAGAATAGCGGACCAGAGGCACTCCAGAGAGAAAGCTCCTTAACCTCTTAACTATGTCATGCAATAAGACTGGAATGAGATCAAACATGAGAACTTACTGTAATCTTCACAAGTTCCTAATGTCTATGCCTCGGCTTTGTCATCTGTAAAATGGGAATAATACCTGCCTCATAGGATACTGTGAGGATTAAATTATATAATATCCAAAACATGAAAATAATACCTGGCACATAAATAAGCAATGACTAAACACTAATTATTTTTATTGTAAGAAGTTTAACATCTAAAGGAGTGAGTCTGTACAGTTTTAGGCAGGTCTTTTCTAAGTATCATAAAAATAAAGCTACAAAATAATAGAGATTAGTATCAATTAAGAGAGTAGACTGGTGTTTCCAGGAAAAGGAATGAAATTTCCACAGGATGTTTACATAGAAGACAAAGTCACTAACACCAAAGTAATACAAAAACTCTAAGTTTGCATCCCAAAAGCTACCATCAAGATATTGTAAAAACTGCATACCTCTTTTAGCAGCACAACCAGAGGGGTCATGATATCCTTAGTCACCATGTCATCACAAACTTCAAAACCTCCACAAGCACTGAGATTTCTACACAAGAAATTTAAAACATGTTTTACTTCCACATCACATGTCACAGAACACTTCTACCCTCTCACATTTCTATTTTTAGCCATATTTAAGGTTTCCCAGAGGAAATAGCTTATTGTTTCTGTCATATGCTACAGAACCAATCCAGAGATCAGAGATTTCCACCTGTTCTGATCCTTGTTCTACAAGATATAAACAGACGACGCTGTCATATAACAACTTAGTTCTGAGGTTTGAGACAGTATACAGGTACATGGCAACAAGAAGGGAAGTGGGGAGACTTTTCCCATGTGAATAAATCACATCATGTATGAAGGGACCTTTTCTTGGAATCAAGACTACAAGGGCAAGGCTAGGTGCTGTAGCTCACACCTGTAATCCCAGCACTTTGGGAGGCCTAAGTGGGAGGATTACTTGAGCTCAGGAGTTCAAGACCAGCCTGGGCAACGTAGGGAGACCCTGTTTCTAAAACAAGAAAAAAATAAAAAAGAAAAAGTGAACTGCAAGGGCAGCAAGGTGGGGCTACTGAGAATGATATCCCCTAAAGCAGCCCTGGGTAAATTTAATTGGAAAGACATGACTTCCGAGTACACAGCACTGTGCTAGTACCTAAGGATATAGTCAGAAGATGCCCTCACAATCCGCCAGGATCCCCTAGCCTGTGTATGCTGTGGGAGGAAGCGAAGGGCTTTCCACATGCTGTTTCCTCCCTAGAGGAAAAAGAGCGTCTATCTCCCCTCCAGCAACTGGTGAGTGCCCATTCATCCCTCAGAGCTCACCTCCAGCACCACTCACTCAGAGTCTTCTTCCCTGAACCCTTTGTTTGTACCCTCCTGTAGCATCCTTTGTCACTATCATTCATTGTAATTATACACTTATGTAACTGTTTGGTTAATGCTTGTCTCCCTCAATAACTTTAAGATTTCTTAAGGAGAGACGCTGCCTTGCTCACTACCCCATGCCCACAGCCTAGCTCAGTGTCTAGCACATAGGCACTTTATACATATTTGCTATATCAGTGAATGAAATATAAATAACAAGTAGAGACAGAGCTACAAGAACTACAAATACTAACTTCCACTCTTGCCCCCTCTGCAGTCCATTCTCTGCACAGCCAGCAGAGTGGCTTTCTCAAAAGGTGAGTTACAGCATGTCTCTTCCCTGCTTAGATTAAGTCCTCAGCCCTACACCATCGTACAGCTCATCCCTCTCTCCAGCCTCACCTCCTGTACTTACCCACCCCTGCTCTTTTCAGCCACCTACCTACCCGCTCTGCTCTTTAACCACATCAAGCCGCCTGCTGCTTCGCTTCTTTGCTGCTGCTGCTCCCTTTGTGGGAAATGCTCTTCCCCCTATTTTCCCATGTCTCCTGGCTCTCTCACCCTGCAGATCTCTGTTCACAAGCCATCTAAAGAGCACCTTCTTTTTTATTTTATTTTTTTTTTGACACAGGGTCTTGCTCTATCACCCAGGCTGGAGTGCAGTGGTGTGATCATGCCTCACTGCAGCCTCGAACTCCTGGGCTGAAGCGATACTTCCACCCCAGCCTCCTGAGTAGCTGGGATAAAGGGCACCCACCACCACGCCTGACTAATTGTTTAAAATTGTTCTAGAGACGGGTCTTGCTATGTTGCCCAGACTGGCCTTAGACTCCTGGCCTCCAGTGATCCTCCTTCCTTGGCCTCCCAAAGCAATGGGATTACAGGCGTGAGCCACCGCGCCCGGCCCAAGAGCACCTAATTCAAACTTCCCACCCCCAACTCATCATCATCTCGTTTTCCCACAGCAATTCTCACTATGTAATACTATGTTTTACCTTTTTACTAGCTTCCTGTCTGTCTCCCCATCAACATGACTTGTGCCAAGACAGGAGATCTTGGCTGTCAACAGATCTCGCTCAACAGTCTTGGCTGCTCAAAATTCCCTGCATTTAGAACGATTCCTGACACATGAAGTGAAGAGTTCATCCAAGGAAGGGACCCTAAGGAGGGCTTTTGGAGAGGGTAAAACGTGCGCAGGCGTGACGCTTGAGCAGGTGGACGCTGCAGGTGAAGCAGCCAGGTGGACAGATGAGATGCGTGTGGTTCGGGGATACTGGAGTTCTCTGGAGCCTGGAGACTGGCTTCAAATCTCTGCAAACGGGAGACCCGGCCAGGGCCTGGTGGCACACAGAAGGCGCTGGCTGACCGCTGCGACCGCCCGCAGCCCAGGCGCGGGGGAGGCTAGAAGTGGGCACCGCCCCGGACCCATCCCGGCTCACCTCAGCGCGCCGGCTGCAGTCTCCCTGACGGCCAGGCTAGGGTCCAGAAGCAGCGGCCCGAGGCGGCGCACGGCGTCTCGGCGCGCCAGGCCCGGGAGTGCCGGCCGCTGCTGCACCAGCCGGGCCAGCCCCGCGCAGGCGCACTCGCGGACCTCGGCGCTCGGGTGCTGCAGCTGCGGAGAGCGAGGAGGGTCAGAAGGAGAGCAGTGCGCACGCGCACGGGGCAACTTCGTCTCGCTCTCCCCGCCCGACGGAGCCCTCGCCTCACCTTTTCCAGCAGCTCCGCCGCTGGCCCGTCGTCCTCCTCGCCTCCGGTCCCATTCGCCGCCGCAGCCGCCTCGGCCTGACAGTCGCCCGTAGGGGAGAACTGAGGTCGCTTGAAGCGCTTCGTCCGGCTCTTACCCATGGCGACGTGCGCTGTGCTGACAGACCACCGAGGGAGGAGGGCAACAGCAGGCGGGGGAGGCTGCCGCGCCGGTGACAAGCAACGTCCGTGGCTGCTGCTCAGCTGGGCCTGCTGACGGCTGGAGAACACATGGGGAAACCGTGCGCAGGCGCGCGGCGCGTCGTCTGCTGGGTCGGGGTCGGGGCGGGGGAGTGGGGGGGGGGGGGGGCTGGTGCGCGGAGCGCGCAGGCGTGGAAGAGGGCATAGGCGGGGCCAGCTTCTGCAAAGGGGCGGAGTCTTGTGGGTTTACCGGGAAAGTAGGAGGCTGGACTAGAATAGTAACGCCGACCCAGGCGGGAGGATCACTTGAGGCCTGAAGTTCGAGACCATCTTGGGCAACATAGGAAAACACTCCACCCCCCGACCCTTCCCCCGCAAAAAATTAAAAATTAGCTGGGCACAGTGGCGTGTGTGCGTAGTCCCAGCTACTCGGGAGGTTGAAGCGGGAAGATCACTTGACCCCAGGAGTTTGAGGCTACAGTGAGCCGTGATCCTGCTACTGCACTCCATCCTGGGCGACAGAGCGAGACCCTCTATCAATCAATCAAGCAAGCAATCAGTAATACTGAGTACAAATAATCAAATGTGATTAAGGATATTGTAAGTTCTGTAAAGTTCATAAAGTTCTATAAAGTGCCTAACACCAAGCCTGACATATAGTAGGTACTCAAAAAGTGTTAACCACGATTTTATTTTGTGTCCCCAGCACCTCCCATAGCTCCTGTCATAGAGACCAGTTAATGTTTTGGAACAAATGTGTGTCTATATTTGATAAAACAGAATCGCTTAAGAACCTAATCTCCCTGCCTTCGTTTCCTCATCAGTGAAGTGGGGACATTGATAGTATATACCTCATGGAGTTGTTACGAAAACTAAATGTGTTCATATGTTTAAGGTGCTAAGAACAGAGACTGGCAGATAATAAGCACTATGGAAATGTTTGGAAACTTGTATTTAACAAAGATTCTTTTGGAAATATTTGTTGAGTACTAGGTACAGTGCTGGGCATTGGAATAAAACAATAATCAAGACAATTTGGTTCCTGTCCTCTCTCCCTGTCCTTATGGAGTTTACAGTCCAGGGAGAGATCTGTTGAATATATAATCATATGAATAACTTTGTGGTAAATTGTAGTAAATACTAAGCAGAGGGAAAAGTACAAGAGAATCTTAGGTGGTCTTTACAATTAGACATGTAACGAGTGAGTACTCAATATATGCATAGCTTTGGGTCAACTTTCTTTTTTTCTTTTTGTTTTTGAAACAGAGTCTCACTCTATTGTCCAGGCTGAGTGCAATGGTGCCATCTGGGCTTATTGTAACCTCTGCCTCTGAGTTCAAGCAATCCTCCTGCCTTAGCCTCCTAAGTAGCTGAGATTACAGGCATGTGCCACCATGCCCAGCTTTTTTTTTTTTTTTTTTTTTCAGTAGAGACGGGGTTTTACCATGTTGGTCAGACTGGTCTCGAACTCTTGATCTCAAATGATCTGCCCGCCTCAGCCTCCCAAAGTGCTAGTATTACAGGTATGAGCCACCGCGCCCGGGCTCAGGTCAACATTCTACTGGAGAAAAGTTCCATTCCATGGCAACGCTACCATCAAAGAGTTGACTGTCCAGTAAGGGAAATAACATTAATTACTATGGCAAATTTTAGAGAGTAACAGAAGTGTAGCTCGTGTTGCGTTTGGGCCTATCAAAGATCAGTCTTGGGCTGGGCACTGTGGCTCACACCTGTTAAACCCACCACTTTGGGAGGCCAAGGTGAGTGGATCACCTGAGGTCAGGAGTTCAAGACCAGCCTGACCAATATGATGAAACCCCCGTCTCTACTAAATATACAAAAATTAGCCAGGCATGGTGGCGTGTGCCTGTAGTCTCAGCTACTTGGAGGCTGAGGCAGGAGAATCTCTTTTTTTTTTTTTTTTTTTTGAGACGGAGTCTCGATCTGTTGCCCAGGCTGGAGTGCTGTGGCTGGATCTCAGCTCACTGCAAGCCCCGCCTCCCGGGTTTATGCCATTCTCCTGCCTCAGCCTCCGGAGTAGCTGGGACTACAGGCACCCACCACCTCGCCCGGCTAGTTTTTTGTATTTTTTAGTAGAGACAGGGTTTCACCGTGTTAGCCAGGATGGTCTCGGTCTCCTGACCTCGTGATCCGCCCATCTCAGCCTCCCAAAGTGCTGGGATTACAAGCTTGAGCCACCGCGCCCGGCAGGTGGCGGTGAACCTGGGAGGCAACGGTTGCAGTGAGCCGAGATCGCACCACTGCACTCCAGCTTGGGTGACAGAGCAAGACTCCGTCTCAAAAAAAAAAAAAAAAAAAAAAAAAAAAAAAAAAAAATCAACCTTGGAGCCACTAAATACATGTTGGTGGGTTTTCCTTCCTGTATATCTTATCGGGCCATCTATCTGCCTGCCACCTACCTAGTCCAGGCAACCGTCTTTATTTTTTGAGATGGAGTCTCTTTCTTGTTGCTCAGGCTGGAGTGCAATGGCATGATCTTGGCTCACTGAAACCTCTGCCTCTTGGGTTCAAGTGGTTTTCCTGCCTCAGCCTCCTGAGTAGCTGGGATTACAGGTGCGTGCCACCATACCCAGCTAAATTTTGTATTTTTAGTAGAGATGGGGTTTTACCATGTTGGCCAGACTGGTCTCAAACTCCTAACCTCAGGTGATCCACCTGTCTCAGCCTCCCAAAGTGCTGGGATTACAGGCGTGATCCACCACGCCCAGCCTAAGCTACTTTCTTTTATCTTGAGCACGTGGCTTTCTGGTCTCTCCATTTCCACCCTGCCTGTCCCCCATCCATTGAGCAGCTAGAGTGATCTCAAAATATTCCTCCACCTTTCTCCTTATATTGTATTCACTTCCTCACTTAAAACTTTTCAGTGGCTGCTGGGCATGGTGGCTCACCCCTGTAATCCCAGCGCTTTGGGAGGCCCAGGCGGGTGGATCACTGAGGTCATGAGTTCAAGACTGGCCTGGCCAAAGTGGTGAAACCCTGTCTCTACTAAAAATACAAAAATTAGCTGGGTGTGGTGGCGCTGGCCTGTAGTCCCAGCTACTCAGGAGGCTGAGGCAGGAGAATCACTTCAACCTGGGAGGCGGAGGTTGCAATGAGCCCACATTGCACCACTGGTCTCCAGCCTGGGTGACAAAGCAAGACTCTGTCCCAAAAAAAAAAAAAAAAAAACCAACTTTTCAATGGCTTCCCTTTCTCTTTGGATAAAGATCCAAATCTTACCAGGGTTGCAGGGTTGCAGGGTTTCACCCCGGCCCCCAGCGTCACCTCTTCATTTTGCTCTTTTAGCCAACATCTATGGGGCCTCAGGGCTTTGCACAAACCCCAGCCCCTACCCTATGAACTAGTGAACACAGTCTCCATAGGCAGGGACAGGGACTTCATAATGAGAGGTCTCCCTTGAGACCTGCATGTACTTCGTTTCTTTGCTTCAAAGCACATATCAAAATTACAGTTGTAATTTTAATTTCTTTGTGAACGGTTATACCATTGCCTTTCTCCCCAACTGAACACTACGCACCTATAAAGACAAGACAGTGCCCATTTTCACACATCACGGTATCCCCAACACTAGCCTAGAGCCTGGCACAAGATAGTCATGCAATTTCTTGAATGAATGGAGAGACCACACAGGAAAGAGTAGGACATGCAATTTAGATGGAATAAGATGATAAGAATTTAGATGAGATAGAAACAGATTCCTCCTGTTTCTCTCACTGTGGTGATAAACAAGAAAAAAGTGGTTCAAAACCCAGGCTAGGCACAGTGGCTCATGCCTGTAATCCCAGCACTTTGGGAGGCTGAGGCGGGCAGATCACCTGAGGTCAGGAGTTCCAGACCAGCCTGGCCAACATGGTGAAACCCCGTCTCTACAAAAAATACAAACATTAGCCAAGCGTGGTGGTACGTGCCTGTAGTCCCAGCTACTCAGGAGGCTGAGGCAGGAGAACCACTGGAACCTGGGAGGTGGAGGTTGCAGTGAGCTGAGATCATGCCACTGCACTCCAGCCTGGGCGACAGAACGAGACTCTGTCTCAAAAACAAAACAAAACAAAACAAAACAAAAACCTTAACTAGATGAGCACAGAGGAATTTTAGGGCAGTGAAAATACTCTATATGATATAATGGTGGATACATGTCATTGTACGTTTTTCCAGACGTCTAGAATGTATAACACCCAGAGCAAACCCTAATGTAAACTACAGATTTGGGGTGATAATGGCGTGTCAATGTAGGTTCGTGGTTGTAACAAATGCATCACGGTGTACGATGTTATCATGGGGGAGGCTGTGCATATGTCAGGGCTGGGAGTATGTGGGAAATCTCTGTACTTCCCTCTCAATTTTGCCATGAACCTGAAACTATTCTAAAAAATAAAGTTGTTGGCCAGGTTCAGTGGCTGTAACCTGTAATCCCAGCACTTTGGGAGGCCATGGCTGCTGGATCGCTTGAGCCCAGGATTTCAAGACCAGCATGGGCAACATAATGCGACCCCATCTCTACAAAAAATTAAAAAATTAGCTGAGTGTGGTGGTGTGTGCCTGTGGTCCCAGCTACTTGGGAGGCTGAGGTGGGAGGATCACTTGAGCGTGGGAGGTGAAGGCTTCAGTGAGCCGAGATCACACCACTGCACTCTAGCCTAGGTGACAGAGTGAGACCCTGTCTCAAAAAATAAAAATAAAGTCTTTAAAAAACATAAATAAATATAAATACCATAGCTAGAGCAGAACTTTGTGGTCTGTTATCGTTAGTTACTCTTGCCAGTGATAAATTACCATTGCTGCTAAAATGAATAATTAGCTTTATTTAATGAGCTTAAGAGCTCTTCTGGGAGCCGCCCTCAGTCGATTGTCAGTCTTGGAAGGAGCCCAGTGATCTTTAACCAGTCTAATCTTCCTTCACCAGTCATTTTTTAAAGTGTAGTGAAGTAATGATTATCTAACCATCCCTTTTTCCTGCAAATTATCTTTGTCAAGAGGGAATTTTTGAATTAGACTGCTTAGAAGCCTCTTCCCTTGAGACAAGTTGGAAATAAGCTTGTCATCAATTATTGGTCTGACAAATTGAAAAAAAAAAAAAAAGGAATTAGGCTGGGTGCAGTGGCTCACCTGTATTCCCAGAACTT